ACTATCAAATAACCAATAAAGTTTCAGCTGATAGCATTTGTATAAAGTAAAAAAAAAAAAAAAAAAAAAAAAAAAAATTGATCATAGAGCATTAAATTTATATTAATATTTTTAGCTCTGTTACTAAATTATTTAAACAGATAAATTTATATCATAAAAGTAGTGATCGACAACTTTAATCTTTTTTTAGCAACTTTCTAATTTTATATTATTGCTATGCCTCCTAAAAGTCAAAAGTGAAGACTTGGTACAGATCACAATAAAGTAGCTTCAGTAACTAATAAATATCAAACTTTTAAATATTTATAAGTAGTTTTTTAGATATTTTTTTTTATTTTCAGGTATTGGATATATTAAAATCTGGTTCCTCAACTTCTATCACAAAAAGATAATAAAATACACGTGAATACACTAGTCAATACATCCAAAGGAATAAAGTATTACATAGATTAAAAAAAATAATATTGAAAATTTTAATAACAATATTAACAATAATGGCTTCTAAAATTCTCTTTACTTTCTATTAATCCCTTATGAAATTGTTGATAGCTCACCTAGATCTTTATTTAATGAACTCTTTACCAATCCATCTGAGAAGTTGTCTGTTGATACTGATTATAGTCAGTTTTAGAAATTTACAAATTTTTGCTGTATTTTAGATCATATATACAGTTACTAATCATTAAATTAAATTAATCTTAGATAAGAGAAACGAAATAGTAAATACAATAGTAAATATGTTACTAGAACTAACTAATAAAATATTAGTACAAAACACCTCAATTATAGAGAAACAAGAAGCTCTAGAAACTACTGTTACTCAACTTTCTAGTGACATCAAAACTTTGCAATCTTTATATGAAAATCTAAAATCAAAAACCAAAGATATTATTTATGAATGGTAGCAGGTATGTAAAACTATTTTTTTGTTCTTTTTTTTTAAATTAAACTGATTAATATTTTGATATTTTATTATCATAATAAGGTATATAATTTATAGGATTTGCATAATATGTAATTAGTTAAGCTAAAAAAAGTAATAAACCAATTTATAGATAGGAGTAACATAAGATATCAAGTTTTCTATAAATAATTAACTTTACTCAAATGACAAAATCTATGAAAAATCTATTCAAAAAGAACTTAAAGATCTTTGCTTTAACAAAATAGAATGGTATAAAAAAAATTCTAGATAGGAGGCATTGTATAGCAAGATTGAAAATTTAGTAAGCAATTATAAAGCTATACAAAATTAATTTTTTGGTTCTCATAACAAAATTTTAATAATAATCTAGCAATTTAACTTTAATTAATAAATTTTTAAAAGTTTTGTAAAATTTGACATGACTAGGTTATAAGAACTAATTTATTAAGTTTGTATAGTACATAAGTTTTACAATTATATGCTTATTAAATTTTATATTAGATTTGTACTAAATTATACAAATATCATAGAGCTTTATTTAGTTTTTTTCGTCATACAGTATTCAAGCATGTTTATAAAACCAAGATTTCACAAACTGTTAACTTATAAAGCTCTGAAACTGAAATAATTTCTAGAAATCAAGTGAAGAAGTACAATGGTTTTTTGAAAATCTTGATAATATTATTAAAAAAGATAAAATATATCATCAAATAGTTGCTAAAAAAGTATTTGGTCAACAACCTATGAAGAATCAATATATAGTAATATAAGCTATTTTACATAACTTGTTCAATCCTGAAATTATCAAAATAAAGTTCGATGAAAAATATTTAACATGAAAACTATAATCTTTCTTAGTAAGTAGCTGCTCATTTTCTTGAAAAACATTTTCATTATAGCCTATTTACTCAACATTATATAAGATTAGTATTAGCATTTAGTAAGTTATAAGTATTGAAGAAGAGACTTCTGAGCATTCTCTACTAAAGACATGAAAATATAATTTAGGTAAATTTTGTTTTACTATTTTTAAATTTGAGTTTAATCTAACTATTAACATTTTTCTAATTTTTGAACAGGAATTTCAAACTTTTTTTTTTTAAAATTTCAACCTTTGCAGGTTGAGATGAGGTCTTGTCTCTATCTTTATTTGAGTAAAATATAGTTAAGAGTTTATATGAAACTACTTGATAATAAATTATAAACAAGAATTGAAGCTCAGACGATAATAAATTTCTATATCTAAAGTTAAACTAAAGCTAGAACTAATTTAAAATTATTTGTGACCTAAACCTACTAGAGTAGTCAAAACTCATCTAGATTTGGTTAGAGAGTATAGAGTTTGTAGAAAAGCTATATTTAATCTAGTGTAATAGCCAAGTTGAGAGTTTTTGTATAGCAAGCTCAGTTGATGAAATTTGATTATATTGAGAAGAAGAACTATATGAATTATATAATTCTCGTGAAGTATTTGAAGTTTGTTGATAGTTTCTTTAATTTAATTGAAATTTGAGTGTGAAATATTGATATTATATTGTTTCTTCTAGTTTGCATATTCAGAACAATAGGGTAGCCATAATTGTTCATAAATTTTTA